AAGAGCAGTGTTGCCGTAGACATCCTTAATGTTTAACATCATGAAGAACAGTGTTGCCATAGACATCCTTAATGTTTAGATTGGCACCATGTTCCAGCAGAATAATGGAACACGTCTCTTCCTGGCAATGTACAGCCTATCAGTGTTAGATGAAAAATTAGACTATAAATTCTAAGAATTCAAAATACATATTCCACAGATTTCACCAACCTGTTATATTTAAATGAGATAAATTCATTTTAATTCTATGTATTTAGTGAAATCTATTTCATGCCAAAAGACTTGGCTACTATACACCTTCATTAAAGGCATCCTGTTTAGTCTGTCACAGATGTCAATCTGGCATTTTCTGCTCAGCAAGAGAGTGAGCACTTCCACACAGTCATGCGCACAGGCCAAATGTAGAGCAGTCCTATGAAAGCGAGAGGAGTTTTCAGGAAATTATAATGCAATATCTCAAAACCTACATTGGTTTATGTAAGTGCAAACATTGAACAGCATGTTATTCCTCTGCCTTCAAAACAAATAATTTTCTTTTGAAGAAAGTACAATATTTATTAGCTCTTATTGCTCACTACCTTAATGAAACAGCAGCCTATTTGGATAGAATGAGCTTGGTGTTTGGATTCAGTTCAACTACGGCTTGAGTTCTACTTGGAACTTGGTCACTTACCAGCTATTGCTTAGCCTTTCTGTGCTTCATTTTCCTCATTAATAAAATAAAGATGACAATAGCAGCTAGCTCACAGGACACCACTGTGATGCTTAAATGGGAATCTATGTAAAGTATTTAGGACCATTTCTAGAACAAGCAACAACTCAACAACTCAATAATTGTTAGATTGTTGTTTTTTTGAGACAGTCTTGCTCTGTCGCCCAGGCTGGAGTGTAATCGTGTATTACATATATTTCATATATTACCTCACTGCAACCTGGAACTCCTAGGCTCAAGTGATCCTCCTGCCTCAGCCTCCTGAGTAGCTAGGACCACAGGAGCACACCAGCATGCTCAGCTAATTATAAAAAAAAAAAATTGTAGAAAGAATCTCGTTTTGTTGCCCAGGCTGGTCTCAAATTCCTGGCATCAAGGGAACCTCCCATACTTCTATATCTATTGTCACCTTCAATGGTCACATATTATTCCATCCTATGGATGCAACTGAAACTTATTTATAGGACACATTCTGTGGGCTCTTGTTGACATAAATGCTGAAAAAAACAAAGTACATGTATCTCTATTTTCTAAAGGTATTTTAATACAATGGAATTGATAGGTAAAGGGCATATAATTACCACCAAATTTTCTATTTGAAAAGTCATCAGCAACTTAAACTTTAAGCAGCAGTATAAGTACCACTGCTCTTTATTCTCACAATGTGGATAAAGAGCACAGTCTGTGGATAAAGAGAACACAGTCTCATTCCTCTTTTAACTTAAATTCTTTTTTTTTTTTTTTTTTTTTTTGAGACGGAGTCTCGCTCTGTCACCCAGGCTGGAGTGCAGTGGCCGGATCTCGGCTCACTGCAAGCTCTGCCTCCCGGGTTCCCGCCATTCTCCTGCCTTAGCCTCCAGAGTAGCTGGGACTACAGGCACCCGCCACCTCGCCCAGCTAGATTTTTGTATTTTTTAGTAGAGACGGGGTTTCACCGTGTTAGCCAGGATGATCTCGATCTCCTGACCTCGTGATCCGCCCGTCTCGGCCTCCCAAAGTGCTGGGATTACAGGCTTGAGCCACCGCGCCCGGCCTAACTTAAATTCTTTTACGAGAAACACTAAGGATTTTTTCATATGTACAAACGTAACTTGTGGAGCTGCAAAACAGTACTTTGCTCACTTTTAGAGTTCTTTTCTTGTGGATTTGATTAGAAACAATTCCCTGTAAAATGAAGATGTGCTTTTTATCTGTGTGTATATATATTATATCAGTAATATATACAATTCTTTATATGTATATTGTTATATATAATAATATATAATAAAAATAAATTCTCTGTAGGATTAAGATACACTTTTCATCTGAATATCTATTTATATATTAGTAAAAACATATACATAGTAAATATTTTTCAAGTATGTTATCTTTTGTTAATTTTTTTCTGACACATAGGTGGGTTTTATTATTATTATTATTATTATTTTTTGAGACGGAGTCTCACTGTGTAGCCCAGGCTGGAGTGCAGTGGTAGCATCTCGGCTCACTGCAACCTCCACCTCCCAGGTTCAAGTGATTCTCCTGCCTCAGCCTCCCGAGTAGCTGGGACTACAGGCACGTGCCACCACGCCAGGCTAATTTTTAATATTTTTAGTAGAGACGGGGCTTCACTGTGTTAGCAAGGATGGTCTCTATCTCCTGACCTCATGATCCGCCCACCTTAGCCTCCCAAAGTGCTGGGATTACAGGTGTGAGCCACCACGCCCAGTCTGGGGGTTTTAATTTTTAGTTTGCTAAATCAACCTTCAGAATGCCTGCTTGTGAGGTCACTCTCAGGAAGGCCTTTGGCAAAGTAAAATGTACCTGTATAAATAAGCATTTGTGTTTTCTTCTGGTGCTTTTCTCATTTTGCATGTGTAAAAATTTCAATCTGTATTCCATCAGGAACTCATTTTTGTGACATAAAATTTCATTAGTTTTCCTCAAAGAGCAGGCATTTTAATAACCCAACCCTTTCTACTCATCTGAAATGTTACCATTATCAGTCCTTACAGCTATATCTTACATGTATTTCAGTGTTTCTGGATTTCCATTCTGTCCCATGTACTTATGTCTTTTCAGCTGTTAGTAAACAATTGTGGGAATTAATAGCACATTTGGTATCTAGAGGAGCAAGTCTTTTTCACTCCGTTACAAAAATTTTTAAATGTCATCACAATAGTAAGATAGACAGCAGATGTCATGCAAAAATGATAAATCCTTGATATTTTCATTCGGTTTATGTAAAACTGATAAACATAGAAAGAGCTCATGTTTTGAGAAAACGGAGTCTTCCCATTCAAGGAACCCACTTCCCACTTCCAAGTGTCCCTCTGAGAAGCCCCAGGAAACAGCCTATCTACATGGGTGGATTCGGATGTAAAACCGACCCAGGCTTTTATCTGAGAACTTCTCGCCTACTGAACATGACTCATGGTATTTTTCACATGGGAATGAGTTCTCATTAGGCATCTCCACGACCCCATGTTTTAAACGTGTATATGCTCAACTTTGTGAATTAAATCACTCAAATTCTCCACCAAGAGCTCCAGGCAGGGAATCGCCAGCGATGGAAAGCAGCTGAGGCTCCGTTTGGCTCCGCTGCTCAGAGGGTGCCCCGCGCCCTCCAAGGCCCCCGTCCCAGGACCTGCGGGGAAGCCGGGCCTGGGGACCCCCTCCCACCCCGGGCTGAGCTCCCGCCACCTGTCCTTCCTGTCGCGGGCATCCACGTCCCGGCTCCTGCGCGCCAGGCAGCTGCACCTCCGCGGCGTCGCAGTTGATGGCCGCCCTGTGGGTCTTCCGCAGTTCCGCGTCCCTGGTGTGGGACCCGGGACCCGCCTACTCGTGGTGGACGGAGCCCAGGACCGCCTGGCCCAGGCGTCTCCCGAAGCTGAAGAGCTTCCTCATGAGGCGACTTCTCAGACGCAGCCTCCGACCTCTCAGACCGAGGGAGCCCCGCGACGCCGTTAGGCGCGCGCCTGCAGCTCAGCGTCCGCGCGGAAGCCGGAAGCAGCTCCCAAGCCCGCGCGGCCCGCAGCGGGAGGCCGGCAGGGGGCGGGTGCAGGTCGGGCGCAGGCGCCGCGGGCTTGCGGGTTCTCCTGGGCTCGCCCGAGACGTCCCGGAATCACACGCGCGCCGCCCGCGCGGCTTGAGGGCCCGCCTGGCCGTGACCCCCGCCCCGCTCCTCCTCTGAAGAGAGATCCGGGCTACTGGCAGGGGCCCTCCGCAACCACCGGGGATGGGGCTGAGGGCCAGTTCCCGCCCCGGTGCAGCCGCCGCCGGGCAGATCTGGCCGCAGCCGCGGCGACATCCGGCCCCGGTTCTGCGAGGCCGGGAGCGCCAGCGAGCTTGGGAGTGGCCAGGCGGCCGCTGCGAGCAGGCAGAGGACGCCCGCAGTTTGGGCGCCAGGGAGGCGGAGCATGGCCCGGGCGGCCTCTGGATCGCGAGTGCGCCTGTCCTGAGGGCCTGCCAGGTGCCCCCGCCCGGCTCCTCCTCTGCCGGAGCTCGGGACCGCTAGTCAGGGGCCCTCTGCAGCCACCGGGAATGGGGCTGAGGGCGGGTTCCCGCCCCTGTGCAGCCTCCCCAGGGCAGACCGCCTCGCTTGGCCGCAGCCGCTGGGACATCTGGTTCTGAGATGTTGGGAGTGCGGGCTGAGATGTCGGGGGTTGCCTGGAGGCTGCTGCCTGCACACAGAAGGCGGCTGCAGCTTGGATGCTCGGGCGGGCTGGAGGGGCATGGCCTAGGAGGCCCCGGATAGCCAGCGCGCCCAGACTGAGGGTCCCCAGGATGTGCCTCCCGCCCCACTCCTCCACCGCAGGGAGTTCGGGGCTGCTGGCATGGGCACTAGGCAGTCACCCCGATGGGGTTGAGCGCCAGGTTCTCAGTTCTCGCCCCTGTGCAGCCGCCGCCGCCGGGCAGAATGCCTGGCTTGGCCGCGGCCCCCGGTACACCTGGCCCTGGTTCTGCGATGCTGGGAGCGCGAGCAGGCTCGGGAGTTGCCAGGCGGCTGCTGCCTGCACACAGAGTGGACTGCAGCTTGGGCGCCCAGGCTGCGGAACATGGTCTGGGTGGGCTCCGGAATGCGCGCGCGCCAGGCCTGTTGGCCCCCAACTGGACCCGCCCCGCTCCTCCTCTGCTGGAGCCTGGAGCGGCTGGAATGGCCACTCTGCAGTCACCGGGGATGGAGTTAAGTTTTCTTATCCCACGCATGCACACAAAAAAGTAACTATTATCTGAGGTAATTAACGCGTTGATTGACTACATTTTGGTAATCATTTCAGAATATGCATATAGATATAAACACATCACACTTTACACCTTGAATATGTACAATTTTTATTTCTCTATTATACCTCAGTAAAGCTGAAAAAATTAACAGGATTGAAAGGATAACAGTTCTACAGTAGTAGTTGGACACTTCAATACCTCATCTTAATTAATGGATAGAAAAACCAGATAGAAGCTTCATGAGAAATGGAAGACTTGAGCAACCGTATAAGCCATTTAGAGCTAATACACATATACAGAACAGTCCACCCAACAACAGCAGAATATACATTCTTTTCAGGCGGATATGGAACTTTCTCTAGGATAGGCCATATCTGTCCGCAAAATAGGTCCTAAAATGACTTTCAAATCATTTTAAAAAGCTTGAAATAATACCAAATATAATTTACAACCACAATGGAAGAAAGAACAGATACATAAAAAATGAAAACTCGAAAATTCACAAATATGTGGAAATTAAACAATACACTCTTAAACTACCAGTGAGTGAAGGAATAAATCACAAGTGAAGTTATAAAACATCTTGAGACAAAATAAAAACAAAATATACCAAAATGTATCGAATACAGTGAAAGTAGAGTTCAAAGGAAAATGTATGAATATAAACAACTACATTTAAGAAAAAAATCTCAAATCAGTAACCTCATTCTATACCTAAGGGCAGTAGAAAAAAACCAAACAAACAAAAAAGACTAAATCTAAAGCTAGAAGAAGGAAAGAAATAATAAAGATTAGTGCATAAATCAATAAATTAGAAGGTTGGAAAGCAGCAGAAATAAACATAGCTAAAAGTTGATTCTTTGAAAGATCAAACCTTTCACTATAGACTGAACAAAAGATGGAAGACTCAGTAATAAAATCATAAATGAAAGTGGCACCATTACTACCAACTTTACAGAAATAAAAAAAGGATTATAGGACTATACTATAAAAATTCTGGACGATGACATTGAAAAAACCCTTCTAGACATTGACTTAGGTGAGGATTTCATGACTGAGAACCCAAAAGCAAATGCAAGAAAAACGAAGATAAATAGGTGGCATTTAGTTAAACTAAAGAGCTTTTTCACGGCAAAAGGAACAGTCAGCAGAGTAAACAGACAATCCACAGAATGGTAGAAAATCTTCACAATCTGTATATCTGATAAAGGACTAATATCCAGAATCTACAATGAGCTCAAACAAATTAGCAAGAAAAACAAACAAACAAACAAAAAATCCCATCAAAAAGTAGGCTAAGGACATGAATAGACAATTCTTTGGCCACTTTTTAATAGCGTTTTTCTCTTGTAAATTTATTTAAGTTCCTTATGTTGAATGCTAGACCTTTATCAGATACATAGTTTGTAAATGTTTTTTCATTCTGTAGGTTGTCTATTCACTCTATCGATAATTTCTTTTGCTGAGCAGAAGCTTTTAAGTTTAATTAGATCCCACTTGTCAATATTTGCATTTGTTGTAATTGTTTTTGGTGACTTTATCATGAAATATTTGCCTGTTTCTATGTCCAGGATGGTATTGCCTAGGTTGTCTTCCAGGACTTTATAGTTTTGGGTTTTACATTTAAGTCTTTAACCCATCTTGAGATGATTTTTGTATATGGTGTAAGGAAGAAGTCCGGCTTCAATCTTCTTCATATGGCTAGCCAGTTATCCGAGAACGGTTTATTGAATTGGGAGTCTTTTCCCTGTTGTTTGTTTTTGCCAGCTTTGTCAAAGATTAGATAGTTGTAGGTGTGTGATCTTATTTCTGATATCTATTCTCTTGGTGAGTGTGTCTGTTTTTGTACCAGTATCATGCTGTTTTAGTTACTGTAGTGCTGTAGTATAGTTTGAAGTCAGGTAATGTGATGCCTCAAGCTTTGTTCTTTTTGCTTAGGATTGCCTTGGCTGCTTAGATTCTTTCTTGGTTCTACATGAATTATTAAATAGCTTTTTCCAGTTCCATGAAGCATGTCATTGGTAGTTTAATAGGAATAGCTTTGGGCAGTATGGCCATTTAAATGATATTAATTCCTTCTCTCCATTAACATGGAATAATTTTTCATTTCTTTGTGTCTTCTCTGACTTCTTTGAGCAGTGTTTTGTAATTTTCATTGTAAAGATCTTTCAGTTCCCTGATTAGCTGTATTCCTAGGTATTTTATTCTTTTTGTGGAAATTGTGAATAAAATTGCCTTTCCAATTTGGCTCTCAGTTTGGCTTTTCCTGGTGTATAGGAATGCTAGCAAATTTTGTATATTGATTTTTTTATCCTGAAACTTTGTGGAAGTTGTTTATCAGCTTAAGGAGCTTCTTGGGTAACAGCTATAGGGTTTAGATAAGAGAATTATGTTGTCTGCAAACAGAGGTAGTTGGACTTCTCTTTCTATTTAAATACCCTTTATTTCTTTCTCTTGTCTGATTTCTCGAGCAAGGACTTCTAATACTGTGTTCTACAGGAGTGGTGAGACAGTTTCAAGGAGAATGCTTCCAGGGTTTGCTCACTCAGTATAATGTTGGCTGTGAGTTTGTCATAGGTGGCTTTTATTATTTTGAGGTATGTTCCTTCAATACCTCATTTGTTGAGAGTTTTTAACATGAAGCATTATTGAATTTTACTGAAAGCCTTTTCTGCACCTAGTGAGACAATCACATGGTTCTTGTCTTAGTTTTATTTATGTTATGAATCACATTTTATTGATTTGCCCACGAGGGACCAACCTTCCATTCCAGGGAAAAAGCCTGCTTCACTGTGGTGAATTACCCTTTTATGTGCTGCTGGATTCGGTTTGCAAGGATTTTGTTGTGGATTATTGAATGGATGTTCATCAAGGATACTGGCCTGAAGCTTTCTTTTTTTGTTGTATCACTGCCAGGCGTTGGTATGAGGATGATGCTGGCCTCGTCGAACAGGTTGGGGAGGAGTCCCTTCTCCTCTATTTCTTGAAATCGTTTTAGTAGGAGTGGTACTGGCTCCTCTTTGTACATCTGTTAAAATTTGACTGTGAATCTATCAGGTCCTGGGCTTTTTTGGGGGGTTGGTAGGCTATTTACTACTGATTCAATTTTTGGAGCTCATAATTGGTCTGTTCAGAGACTGAATTTCTTCCTGGTTCAGTCTTGAGAGGATGTGTGTGTCCAGGAATTTATCCATCTCTTCTACGGTTTATAGTTTGTGTGTCTACACACACAAAAAGGTGTTCATAGTAGTTGCTGATTGTTATTTTTGTTTCTGTGGCATCAGTGGTAACATTCCCTTTATCATTTCTGATTGTGTTTATTTGAATTCTGTTTCCTTCATTATTCTAGCTAGCGCCTATCTATCTTAATTTTTTCAAAAAACCTTGATTAAGTGATCTTTTGAACAGTTTTTCATGTCTCAATGTTTTTCAGTTCACCTCTGATTTTATTTATTTATTGTCTTCTGCAAGCTTTGTGGTTGATTTCTTCTTGCTTCTCTGATTCTTTCAGTTGTGATGTTAGGTTGTTAATTTAAGATCTTTCTAACTTTTTGATGTGGGCATTACTTCTTATGCCCTACCCTAACTTATCTCCTTCTCCTAGAAAACTCAGAACCATGCTTTCTAAACCAATTCAAACTTTCTCAGTGAATCAACCTGGTCTCCCTGAGGCAAAGTTAGCAATTTTCCGTTTGACATGGTTCTCTTTCTCTGTAAGAATGTCTAACGCAACAATGCAGGTGTTTCATTCCCTCCTGGATATGCGGGGAACTCCTTTTGGCTGAGACCAAGACTTAAAACTTTGTTCTTTCAACATTAATGAAGATCTACTTAGAAAGTCTCCATTTTTACAAGAAAGGTATATAAATACCAATGAAAATGAATATAAAGTTATATGACATACAATTATATTGTGGAAAGGCTGAATAAATAAATGAACCAAGCTCTAAGAAAAAAAGAAGATGATATAAAATGATATATAAATGAAAAACCTGAGCTGGTATGGCATAATTAATGAAGGGGGCCTGTCCCTCCACAGCTGTGGGTATTTCTCACAAAGTGGAGACGAGAGACTGAGAAAAGAAATAAGACGCAAAGTATAGAGGAAGAAAAGTGGGCCCAGGGGACCGGCGCTCAGCAAGTGAGGGCCTGCACCGGCGCTGGTCTCTGAGTTCCCTCAGTGTTTATTGGTCACTGTCTCTACTATCTCAGCGAGGGGGTGTGGCAGGACTATAGGGTAATGGTGGGGGAGGGTCAGCAGGAAAACATGTGGGCAAAGGAATCTGGGTCATAAATAAGTTTAAGGAAAGGTGCTGTGCCTGGATGTGCACGTAGGCCACATTTATGTTTAACTTTACACAAACATCTCAGTGCAGTAAAGAGCAGTATTGCCACCAGCATGTCTCACCTCCAGTCATAGGGCAGTTTTCTCCTATCTCAGTAAATAGAATGTATGGTCGGGTTTTACACTGAGACATTCCATTCCCAGGGATGAGCAGGAGACAGATGCTTTCCTCTTACCTCAACTGCAAAGAGGCCTTCTTCTTGCACTAATCCTCCTCAGCACAGACCCTTTACGGGTGTCAGGCTGGGAGACTGTAAGGTCTTTCCCTTCCCACGAGGCCATTTCTCAGGTTGTCTTGGGGTGGAAAACCAGGGAAATACCCAGGCTTTCTTGAGCAGAGGTCCCTGTGGCTTTCTGCAGTGCATTGTGTCCCTGGTTAATAGAGAACGGAGAATGCCGATGACTTTTACCAAGCATACTGCCTGCACACACATTTTTAACAAAGCACATCCTGCACAGCCCTATATTCCCTAAACCTTGAGTCAATACAGCACATGTTTCTGTGAGCACAGGGTTGGGGCTAAGGTTACAGATTAACAGCATCTCAAAACAAGAATTTTTCTTAGTACAGATCAAAATGGAGTTTCTTAGGTCTTCCTTTTTCTACATAGACACAGTAACAGTTGGATCTCTCTTCCTTTCCCCCACAATTAATGTACCAGTGAAGTATGTACATTGCAGAAGTGGCAGGAAAACTGCATACAGGGTG